GTCTTGTTGTAATGTATATTTCTCTGGCATGAGTAAATGATAATATAAATAACAATCATGATCATCGTGGAGATCATCGGCAATCATTAAATCGTGAACACAGTAAATGACAATATAACAATATGAATATTCCGTATGTTCAATTTACTGGACTAGGATAATAGAATCAAGATGGCAACACTGCATTGCATGGAAGGGGCTTCTTGTCTGTCTCATGCCTTACTGAAATTTATCTTATTGCTCCTAAAAAGTCACACTACTCTCTTGTTTTTTTATTTTAAATTGCATCCTGCATTTAAATGGAAGATAGTTTGCATTCTTTTTTGTCATCCCTGTGCACAAATCCTGTGAGACTGGTCTGAAAGATTCTCGTTTTTTATGTCCAAGTTTACAGCCTACCCCAATATTTTCCATGCTAATTTTGAATTTTTGGGACATTTTATTGCTTTCAGATGGCAAATGAATCACAGCAGAGAAAATAATTAGTGACGTCCGTATACGGGGTTCTTACCATTTCATGCTTTCAATGTGCGTACTCAGCATCATACTGGTTAAATATCCAGTTATGATCAGAAAGCATGGTCAAATATCTATTACCAAGATTGTTTCAATAAAACGTTCAATTTTAAGTCCAAGTTACTCCTTATGCCAACAGATCTCAAGTTGCATTTACAGAGCACAGACTACGGTGGTTTCCTGCAAAATGAACCCTCCCCTCTTACAGTGTCCGTCATCGACGACAAACTCAAAGAGAAACTGGTGGTGGAATTTCAACATCTCCGAATCCATGCGGTGGAGCCATTGTCCAAATTCCTTGACTTTATCACGTAAGAACATTTCGAGTGGAGGAATGGAGTAGGGCCGGAAGTTGTTTTTTTTTTCACAGTGGTATTCATTGACGTTGGAAGGTGTGCAGAAACACCCTGTCCCATGATTGAAATACGTAGAAAAGCACTTTTTTCACAGATCATGCCCAAATTTTTTAAGCAACAATTATTGTTTACCGTTTTATTTCAAATGATATTTTACAGTAAACTGCGTAACTCCAGTTGTTGGTGTTTTTATTTTCCGTTTTCATTGCCACAGTTACAGCTACATGATAGACAACATCATCCTGTTGATCACTGGTACCCTGCATCAACGGTCCATCTCAGAACTAATACCCAAGTGTCATCCACTGGGCAGCTTTGAGCAGATGGAAGCTGTGAATGTTGCCACCACACCTGCCGACCTCTACAATGCCATCATCGTTGATACACCACTCGGTGAGAATGATAGGGCAACCATCTTGTTTCTGATCCCCTACCATGCACCAGTTGCAAAATAGTGTCATCTTATGATAAGGTCCACTCCATGATATTGGTGGGTTTGTTGGATAGGCATTTGTGCTGCTGTCGAGTCTTTCAAAAGATCTTGCAAGTCCATCACAAATCATCTGGTCTGAATTCAATTCACAAAGTGTTGAAATGAATGGTGGCCAAAGTATTCCTTGTCATTATTCATCCCATTACTTGTGACTGGTCTGGTGACTAGACTTGTAATGGGGTTTACAGTGGACTTAACTTCAGCCCTGATCGGCATAGGTTTACACCTTGTGTGTGATAAAATCAAAAACAGCGTGTCATAAGGTGTCATAAATGATCTGGATTATATAGTATGCTATTTAATTTCCTTTGAAAAAATATTTTCTGTCTTTGAACAGCCCCATTTTTCCAGGAGTGTATCTCGGAACAAGATCTTGATGAAATGAACATTGAGATCATTCGTAACACGCTGTACAAGGCCTACCTGGAGGCATTCTATAAATTCTGTGAGGATCTAGGCGGGGCCACAGCAGATGTCATGTGCACCATTCTTGGGGTAAGTTATGATGTGCAGAATGCTTCAACTAAGCACTGAGCAGAAAATAGAAAGTACACGCAGATCTCAGTTGAAAAATGTCAGCAACCAAAGTTCTTGTTTATTCAAGTGTCCGCAACAAAAGCTTAAAATTGCATGGTAATAGTATTGAAGTAAACCCAGTTTGAGATGAGTTCTTGCAAATTCCTAACAACAGCCAATTAAGACGTTTACCTACAAAAACAACAATTTTGACAGAATTTGAGCAACCTCACAACTTTCCTTGCTATGTATCAAAATGTAAATGATTTATTTTGTGTTCGTCTTTTTTCCTATTTACAGTTTGAAGCTGATCGCCGCGCATTCATCATCACCATCAACTCATTTGGTACTGAGCTTACCAAGGAGGATCGGTTCAAGTTATATCCACGCTGTGGTCAGCTAAATCCAGACGGTTTGGCTGCCTTGGCTAAATGTGACGACTATGAACAAGTCCGAGCGGTGGCTGACAACTACGCAGTGCGTTGGATCACCTTTTGCCTTACATGACTTATGTTCACTACTCAATAATCCAGGCTCCAAATGGAAATAATCGTCTTGGTTTTGTTCAAACCCATTTTCAGTTAGATATCTTTGTTCCTGGGAGGCAAACATCAATATCCTGATATTTTTACACCAGTACTTCCCACAACCTCCATGTTTGTGGCATCAGAAGGATTTTTTAAAAGATAAAGTTGAATTGTCGGAAAAAAATATTTGTTGTTAAAAACTGGAAGTTCTATTTATGCCAGTTGTCACGAACCGTGATAGCAATAGCAGGTTTGTTGTCAAGCACTAGAAATGACTGTGCCATTTTTGGCTTTGCTTTTTTGTTTTTAGGAGTATAAGCAACTCTTTGACGGAGCAGGAACCAACCCAGGGGACAAGACTCTGGAGGACAAATTCTTTGAGCATGAGGTACGTTTTCATAAAGAAAGTTCAAAATATTTTGCACATAATCTGCTAGAACCTCAAGTTCTATAACCGTCTTATTGTGTACACAACGTGGGAACTATTTTGATCTTAATATCTACCAGAAATCTGCCTTCATTTAATATGAATCAATTAACTTGATTTAGATTCAGTCTTGTCGAGATCAGTCATTTAACTTTACGTAGTTTTATTTCAACACATAGTGTTGTTATGGGAACTTGTACGTGTTCTTTTTCAGAACAGAATGAAATATCAGTTGCTGTGTACAAAGCTCACAGTGAGACGGTCTGAGTACATGTACTCCTTTTGTCTCAGATGAGAGTCTGAAAACAAATCCCATCAAGACAGCTCGCTGGCTTGATGAACCCTGGTCAAGTATTTCCCACACAGCCATTGGTACATGTGCTATATTTGTCGATTTGGAAGTCAAGCTAATGAAAAACAATTCACTTAAGACACAGCAGCCAATGAAATCTCTGGAGCTTGAAAATCACTCCTGCCCCATTCTGTTGGACATTGACCCTGTCTGCTGACTTTGATCCTGCAGGTTGTCTTATTTATTGCCTGAGTATTTGCCACTAAATTTCACTGCTCTCCGTTGACACACAGGTAAAGCTGAACGTGAATGGTTTTATGCAACAGTTCCACTATGGCGTCTTCTACTCTTACGTTAAACTCAAGGAACAAGAATGCAGAAACATTGTATGGATTGCAGAGTGTGTCGCCCAGAGGCAACGAGGCAAGATTGACAATTACATCCCGATCCTGTAATGGTACATCCCAAAATTTACATGCTGATCACTGTATCTATCTAGATGCTTCGTATTTTAGTCGGGTCCCTACCAAACCTGTCTGGCCACCATTAACGTCAGTAGTGGGACACCAGACAGGTTCATCCTTGTACTGGTTGGATTGTGCAGCAGGTGTTTACCATAAATAGTCACAGAACTGTTTTCTTGGATAGTTAAGTGTACGAATGTCACTTGAACAGTGTGAAGTATTTTTGTCAAAAATAGATAACTGGAAAATGCTGAAGGGAATCAAACTTAAGAACAGTTAAGTTTTCATGCTGGACACTGCTAATTGAAGCACTGAAAATGATTCTGATGCAGAGTTTGATTGTGTTATTTAAACGAGCACAGAGGAATATATTCATGAGAACATCAGCTACGTTTTAAGTGCAGGTTGGTTTTTTTAGGGGGGGCTAAATATATCTATTATTTAAATAGGTTTTAAGATGTCTGTTACTCTAGCAAAGAAAGTGTTAATCCTGGGTGTTGTAAATATGTAATTACCAAAATATGTATAAATATTCATGAAATATTTCCAAGACAACCCTCCAACATTTTTGTTGTGCGTATAATTTTGATTTGAATTGTGCTTGGATATGATGTAAACATCAGATTTCATTTAATTGATCAGCCATGGATACATTGGTCAACCAGATTCTAAATTGTAATGTGTAATGTTCTTTCATTTTAAAGATTAAAGCATAAAAGTTTGCACTTGAAAACTACATTTCTGTACGACAGCAGAAATTTCACATTGAGGCCCAACTGGTAACATGTTATTAGAATAATGCTAGCAAACTTTCAATTTAGACCCAAACCCACAGAAGTACATAAATGCCGTAAGAAAGACCCTACTGGACATGGCATGAAGAACCAATAACATATAGTGTGCACTGTGGTATTTCATAGATATAGTGTGCACTGTGGTATTTCATAGATATCCAGCTAAAACATTCTTGTTGGATAGGCTAAGCTGGTTACAATACATGATAACCAGGAGACTAAATATTTTGTACAAACGACTTATTCAGAGCTCATAATTGCTAGTCACCCCTATGTTTACTCAGTTTTCCTGATAAGACCTAGTGTAATCTCGGTTCTGTGTTAAGTCCCAAGTAGTGTTTATGAAAACACATCTTTTCCCTTGGGAACCTGCCATGCAGCTTTGGAGGGTCAAATCATATTGTTTGGAAGAAAACTACGGCACATTCCATCGGTACCAATTCTAATGTGTCCTCTTCAGTGGCCTCAGAAATCATGGATAATTTGAGTCTTGGATATAAGTGCATTTTATTTCTGATGTAGTTTGATAAAAATTGGTGGATTAAAAACAGTACTTGTGTTTTGACTGGAAACGGAATTTCAAGCTGAAAGCTGTGACAGTTCATGTCCCTTATAGTCCTGCACTATCTAGTGTAATGAATCCACATAACCTACACAGCTTGTACATTTAACATTTTGATAAAATGTGTGTCTGTCAGGTGTGGATTAGGGAAAGCTATATATAGCCTCAGAGCAAAGCTGTGGAATAAATAAAATATGGCCGACTGCTTAAACCGTTGACCTTCATACATTGCCGGCTGAGCTATACTTGTAGTGACAATTCTATCTACATTTGGGATGTAAACACCCCAAGATTTTTTTTCAGACTTCTGATTAGCTTTTTTGTTCTCAAAAGTGATAATGTATGCCATTTTGTGTTAGTCATTTGTAGACCATGTTCATCATGCATATATGGAGCAGTATGGATCTTGTATCCTTGCTGAAACCATTCATCAAACCCTCTTTTTATTACCAGTAATGCACAGCCATGACTCACAAAAGAGAAATAAATCCCGACATTGAATCAGGTAGATGGATGAGCTGTACAGGAAATGGTGCTTCTGGGGTTGCAAGTTTAGTTGTGAATGAAGTCACAGGAAAAGGTCATTTGTTTAGACAGGAATTCATAGACCTCGGTATGAATCAGTTTATTCTTGATCCGTGGGTTTGCAGGAAGCAGGAACAGATCTGTCATCATGTTTTGTTTCAGTGGAATTTAGATTGGAATGAATCGGTCTCTGTGCAGACCTATAGAAGAAGACATCCTCTGAAAAGGCACACCAGCACCCAGTTTGGTACAGATCTGTTACGCAGCTTGATTCAATGGTATTTGTTCATTTCAAGTCTTGAGGTGTAAGAGTCTAGCCGTGTCCTAAATATGTGGCTACAGCTAGATGGAAAACATGCTTCTGTGGGAAACAAAGCCACTTGTTACTGGTTGGCATAGGTGAATGTGGTGTAACGGCTATTAAAAGCTAAGCAATTAACTTGGTGCTAAACTATAGAGGACGCCATTGACCACATCACAAATGACAGGCTAGGGCCATAGAGCTACATTGGGTGTGTTACACCCCAACTACGGCATCAGTCCTTACTATAGTTGGGCCCGTCCCAACTAGAGTGCTGTAGTTGGGCTGGCCCAACTGCAGCACAGAGGTCCAGTGTGCATGTGCCCAGCATTTGCCGAAGTCATGTTGTTTACAATGTTATGTCATAGATGAAGTGCCATATTTTAGGTGAATTGTATAACGTGTGAGATGCATAAACTTCAATCAGGTTGAGAAATTTTCTACAGAAATTGGTCAACAATAGTTGGGCCAGCCTAACTGCAGCACTACAATTGGGACTGATGCACTGGTTCTTGTGCAGTAGTGAAGTATGAATGATGGGCAGAAGTTGACCACCGGTTGATTTTGTCTGGTATTCTGGATGCATTTTATACTGTAACCAGGGAGAATCAATCAAGACAACTTGAGTAGCTAACATGTTTTTCATTGGAATTGACCCACAATAAGATACTCCACTTCCACAAATTAGTGTCATCTTTTGTAAGAGGAAGCTCTCATCTAAATTGCAAAATCATACATTCACAGGGATGTCAGTTTTTTAGACAAGTTAAAACCCTTTTTCTGGCTTTTATGGCGTTAAATATTGCACTATTAATTTCAGGCCTCAATTACCTGGGGAAAATTGTGGACAAGACCCTTACATCCTTGATCGGTGCCCTCTACTCTGATCCTTTACAGGGCCAAACCAAAATGCCTGCAATATTTTTGAACACCTTACCATGAGCATTTCGTCCATTACTTTCACTGAATGTGTCGAGCTATAGGTCAAGATTGCCCCGAGCTATTTGCCCGACCATGGGGAAATCTCTGAATTGCTACCCGACCAGACATACTCATGCCTTAATAGTCGGGTGGATTTGGAAACGAAGTTCATACCCAATACTAGGGATATAGTAGGCAAGCCAACACACACTTTAGAAATTACACAAATAAATGACAAAACCTTACCCGCAAGATGTGAATATGCATGAGTGCAGTTTTATTCAGAATCACTTTGCCAAGATAAACCAAATCACACAAATTATTTAAGTTCAATATCAACCCACCGAGATAGAATCTTCCATAACTTCGTAAACCAAGATGAGAGAAGAGCAAGTTTAGAAGACAAAAAATCAGCGCAGAATGGGAACAAACCCCTCCTACAGTATTAAATAAATATCAACGTAGATCCTATCCATGCTCCCGACACTTACTAAAATAAAAATTACAATAAAAATGGTCGAATAAGTGCTCTTCTTGGCCTCATGTACCTTTTAATTGTAACTTGATTGCTACTTTATAGAAAATAAAACTACAGTGCTCTAACAGGTGAGCGAACTATGAAAAAGGAAACTTTTGTATCAACAAAGAACCATGGCCTCTTGAAAAATGATCCTGCACTGAATTGTGCTCACCAGCCTTTAAGTCGAAGATCTGTCGGAATCTCCTCTGGGCTGCTGCACTATGTATCTTAAGTATGAAATCCTATGTCTCTCAGAACCTGTTCACGCCAACCTCCTCTCAGTATATCACAGCTCTATACAAAACCAGACATAGCCTTAGATGTAAACATTACATTTACTATGTACACGAGTAACAGATTAACCGCCAAACTAAAAGGAAATCTCAGAGTAAATCAGGCAAAAAATGATCCATTCAAAGACATGCTCATCAAGTTTTCAACTTAACACTTTGAGCAATTTTTTTAGGGCGCTACAAAGTACATTTTTTTTTTGATAGTGCACACTAACTCCCAGATTCGAGGCAAATATGTAACAGGGAAAGAAAGTGTGCATTCAATTTAACACCAACAGAATGAATGGAAATCTTCAGGTTCGTAAAAATGCAAATACAAGACGGTAATTCACAACTTTAAATTCCATTTAATGAATGAATTCAATATATGAAAATTCAAAGTTACCACCACAATGACAACAAACAATAAAGCAATTCATGTATACAGTTAAAAAATACACAAGGTGATTAATTCGAAGAGGACAAAAAATTACTTTGCCTTTTTCCGAGACTCAGTTAAGTATGTAACATGCCAAGCTTTCCACGACGACAATATTTGGGGGTAAAAGAAACTGTGTACAGTTCCATTTGGGAATAAAAAAAGAGCCAATAACAAATTCCAACAGTATTCCACTTCCAACTTTAAAATTCTTATACTGAGGTAAAATTAGGTATGAAAATTTGCATTTCCAACGTCGCCATGATTGAAATTACACTTGGCAGCGCCTTCACTCACTCCTTTATACATGTATGACCAGGTTTTCTTTTCCCAGTACATTTGCCTTGGGTGATGTATTTTTCATTCACAGTTTGCCTCTACATCATTTTCAGCGATGGCTGGAGCAATGTTGTGGCTACTGCTGATTCTGGGAATATGGCATGGTAGTTGGCCAGCGGTACAAATGCTGCGGTGATCATCTTGCCTGCAAAACCAACACACACAAAAAAAACAGGAATAATCCAAAAAGTCGGAATACTCTTCCCTTCTCTTAGGGCTTTCCGACTTGGATTGATCTAACTAGGACCATGACACAGCTTGCAGTGTGGGTCCAGTGGATTTTTGCTTCAACCCTCCACCTGAGGAGTCTGGGGAGAGACTGGTACATTTAAATGAGGGTCTCAGAAGGTCAACAGGATTAAATGTCTTCTTTTTTTTTTTTAGAACAACATAAATTAAACTAAAATGCTGGTACCGTACACGTGTGCTTTATATGCGTGGCCGGGGTCTCTGAAATTGGACAAAGGAAACTGGGCCTTGTAACAAAAGTCTGTACTCAGAACAAAAGACCAGGCTGCTGGGCATTACCAACATTTTTTCACTCTCAATAGCGGAGGTTAGAGTAGCCACCAGACGGTCATTCATGTGGGTGTAAACGTCCATTAATTGAAATGATGAATTTTTGAAGAATTTTGAAAACTGAAAATCTTGAAAATGTCCCGATTACGTGCACAAACCACCCGGCAGCTTGTGGTTAAAGAATTCCTGCCGACTGCACACAAATGACATGGATATGGACTGGAAATGGTGGGAGCACACAGATATTCGAAACTGCAAGTTTTTTGGTAGTTCTTTCAGTTTGTAATGAACATCATGGGAAGTATGGTTTTCAGCTGATCCCGAGAAACACTGCATCACTGTTGCGCTATTGTTTGAGTTATGATCTCTGACCTCAAGGTTACTGACCTGCAAACCATCTGCCATGCAGACTGTTCACTGCAGCCACAGCAATCTGGGCATTGGGACATTTGACGTAGCAGTTTCCCTGAGGTGAGGTCCTGTCCACGTGAATGTGTAGCACACCTCCATGTTTGTTACACTCCTCAATCACGTCGTCTCGGATCTCTGTCTCCCAGTTGGTCGAGGTCTCACTGTAACATGACAAAGAATCAGAGTAACTCACCCGGAGACGAGGAGTATGACAAGGACGAGTTATCTTGTCAACATCTATACTGCACTCATGGAGAAGAACAAGGTTATACATGAGCAAAATTTCTGCAGCGGAAACAGCGGCAAAACCTCAATGACTTTTGGCTTCAGTTATTTCTCCAGATCAGAAGTACGGTACCTCTTCAAAGCTGATACACAAGTCAAATAAATATACACATACATGAAAAGATTGGTTTTTTTTGTTCCTGTTTTTTCAAGAAACTTAAAAATCAGTAATGGCAATAATCAGTAATGTTTTGGTTGCCCGTTCCAACTCCCTGAAACTGGAGTGGCCTTCATTCCAAAGAATGCCAACTAAGTTATCAATCAAAAGTTGGGCATACATTAAAAAAATCCCACTGGAAGGTGAACTCTGGTATCACAAAAAAGGACTCACGATGTTGGGTCAAACATGTTGGACAGCATGAAACAGGGAGGGTTAGTTGCAGCCGGTGCAGCCGGCATGGCTGGTGTTCCTGTAGGAGCTACTTGACTGGCCAGAGCTGCTGCCTGCTGTTGTGCCGCTGCTAGTTGCGCCTGGATGGAATGAAACACAGCATGACAGGTTACACATGACAAGAGAGGCCATCACCTGAAGTGAAATCAAACTCATCTGATATTTGGAATGACTTGTTGTGATGTACTCAGACATCACTGGCACATCTCACCTGCAGTGAGACCTGGCCAACAGAGGGCAGCATGCTTGTTTGGACGGCCGGGCCCGTAGGGACATTAGCCAATGGATTGAGAGCCTCAACCACAGCACTAGGCAGCTGGAATCCAGTACCTAAGCAAAGAGAAAGAGCATCCAAATTATTAAACAAAACGCCTATCAATATTCTAAAAATATAGAAGTCTCTTTCAAAATTTCAACATTCATTTCCCACATTGAAGCAACCGTCAAATTGGTTTTCACTTTTCTTTGTTTGTTTGTTTTTTTTTTTTAGGGAGGATACAGATACAATTTCAACGTTTCAAGTTTGCTAAAATGACCACAAATGATCAGATTAGCTGAAGGACCCAGATTTCTTACACGGTGAAGTTTTCTATGCTGTGTTTTTCTTTAAACTGAAGAAAAAAATGCGGTTCCAATTGCATGCCAAATCCTACACACAGCTAATTGGAACTATCTGTCACCTATAAATTAAAGCTGCTCACTCTTTGCCATAGTACGAATATTTGAACAATGGACATGCATTCTTCTCCAAAGGCCACAGAGAGTCAGGGTTCAAATGGACAGGGCTGTCTCCTACCTTCAGCTAGCTTGGCCATGAGCTGCAGTCTCCCAGTGGTTGTCAGCTCAATCCCTGTTCTCTCCAGCTCGTCATTATCCAGCACTGATGTCGCCTGCGCATTGTCTGATCTCTCCGTTACATGGTTCACCTTCATTGGACGGCCAGCCAGCTCAAATCCATTCAGCTGGTCTAGCGCCCTCTTGGCATCATCGGCATCATGAAACTGTTATTGTAAAAATTACACGATGACTAATATTCAACCAACATCAAACTTTTGCAAACGACAACTGTAAATTACAGGTTGGAATACATGTGAAATGAAGAACATGTTCAACAGATCTGCTTTTGAATTTCCTTGAAAGAGACTAACAATCAAATATACAAGGAAAAAACAGTTCATACATCATGCCAATGGTGAAGGAGAACAAGATAAAGTAAAGTTTATTCTCAGTGAATTCATTTCAATGTGGTTAAGTTCATGGATTCCATCCACAAACTCGAGAGAGGGCCGTGTCAAATGACAGGCACTAGCAAGTCACCGATTCTTTTACAAGTGTAATACAGGAGGCAGACAAATGCAAAGACGACCCTACTCCAAATCTGGGGTTTTGGCCAAGGTCTAGGCCTTTAATAATTGAAGACACATCCACACATAACCATGGTTTCACTACTTGGCATACTAATTTTTGCAAGTCCTTGTTCTCAATGTGCATATTCTGTGTGTCATATCCACCATTACCGTTACATGTGGCTCTATGCATCCACAGTGTATGTCACTAATTTGTTACCGTTTATTCATAGCCAAAGGCACACCCATGTCTCCGGAAGCCTGATCTAGACAGTCAAATGATTCCCATTCTCTCTACTTCAATCAAGTCTTTGACAGGAATGAGCAAGGAAAGAGTCTAGGAGCAAGGAAAGAGTCTAGACGCAAGAGCATTGACCTGACTGGCTTAGTGCTTGAAAATATCACACCAATAAAGTCACTGCATTGTTGTGTCTCTTTTTGTTAGAACAGATGTTACCTGTGTAGACTTCCAACTCTTTTAAGAAATTTCACTTCAAAGGCTGACTTCGCAAGTTTGTTCAAGTCAAGACGAAAGGAATTAGTTAGTTTTTTATCTTGGAATGAAATGACTCACCGTGATAAAGCCATAACCTTTGGAACGTTTCAATTCACTGTCTGTCATCAGCTGAATGGAGTCAATCTGCAATTAAACACAATCGACACATTTCCAATGGCAGCACACTGACCGTTAGATGCTACCATTTACTCAAAGGTACACAGATGTCATTTCCGCTAAATGAGACTGGTGGTCCTTATTGAATCTGTGCGGGTTAACTCTTTGCTGGGTTTCTGGTCTGGTTTTGGGGGACCTACATTCTTTGCAAATAGAACTTCTGGTTGATTTCAGAGCATTAAAGGCTCAGCCTTTTCTGAGTTCACTTCAGTTTTTAAGAGTTGAGGTGGTTGGACGGTCCAGTAGGAGGTTGACTTTGGATGACCTGTGTCAAATTTGATCCAGAATGACAGTTTTAACACTAGAGATGGGATAGTGGCAGGCGCTGAAATACTGTGACATCCTGGGGGAGTTTGGAAATCTGGGAGGGTTAAGACGCCTTCCACATGTACCTTTTGGGTGTGTTGCGTACAAAAAGTGTTTGTGTGTTTCACTTTCACGGACAAACAAATCGACTCCATTAACATAACACACGTGCACATTGCGTTGGCTGTCAAAATTGCTCCCAGGAGTGATATTGACGAATGTGCTGTGCTTGGCACAAGTGCTGATGTTCACATGGAAAGGTGCCTTTCAAGTGAAGTAACCTCTCCAGAGTGTTCTCACCTGCCCAAAGGGTTCAAAGATGCCTCTGAGCATCTCTTCAGTGATGTTGTAGTGAAGCGAGCCTACATACAGCCTCATGGGACCAGCCCCTCCTTTCTGTAACGTCTGATTATTCTGGGCCAAGCGATTCTTCTCAGCTTGGGATGGTTGAACGACGATGGGCACTCCCATCAGTTTCTCGTTGTTCAGACCCATCGCCTTGACGATTCAAGAAACAAACAAAGCCGTCACATGAAACAAATTATTCCAGCTGCACAATTCTGTCTGTAGTCTCTTGTGCCAAATTATTTCCCCAGTACTAAGCTCGTCTGATTTATCACCTGCGGCTATCCACGGATACAAAACAAATACCATGCCATATGTTCAATGCAGTCGAACACAGATAAGAAAAGCGCCGTTAACACAAGGTCACGTATATAATAAGGACAATTTTAGGTCACGTCTTTGTTCTTGTTTGTTTTCTATTACTGATAACAAGAACGTAATTTGTAGAAGTTCCAAAGACCTTGTTATAAGTGTTCCACTGTACATGTATGGAATCTTTGAGGGCTCTCTTTCGCTGAAGATAGTTTTGACGTAATGATCTCCTTCACTACTAGAAACCTCAACTTTTTGCCCACATATAATCCTTTTCGTCTGTTATTAGTACTTTATGATGCACTTCATCAATGCCTAACTACCCCTCTTCTGACTCCAGTTGCAACAAACTTCACTCTACCATGTAGTTACTTGTTACATGTGGGCTAATGCAATGCCAAAGTCCTTGTTACTTGGCTTCTGTCTTGGGGTTACGAAGCTAGTGCCTATGGTGAATCCGGATATAAAATATGTAAAATAACACAGAGTCTGCCCCAATTTGTGTTATGAGAAGTCATGTGTTATTCTTTTTTGTCTCCTATTTACTTGTAGGATAACACAATAATTATATGGTTGTAGATATTATGGCGGAAATGATTTGCTAATGGGAAGTGTCAGGTAAACTTGTTTTGTTATCTGTTAACTTGTAGGTACATGTATTTGGGATCACTCACCAGTGGGACTGATTCATCTGACATAAACTCCACATATCCGATGCCTTTAGAACGCCTCGAGTTGCGGTCTGAGATGATCTTCACATCACGTACCTGGTGAGAAAATAACAGTTAATTTCTATCTTGGAACCATCTCAGACTTAACTTCTTACCACCTGAATTCCTTTATGAACTCACATAAGGACATCAAAATTTTCAAATCTCAAACATCACAAATTGTAGGTATTCCATCAATTTATTGGTACAAAACTTGTACCCATTTAGAGACGGAATAACTGCCGAGTCCAAGAAAAGGTCCCTTTTACGTTCCACCATGTTTTCTTTAATTACAAAAATCATCACAAAAACTGTTACTGTAAAATTTCTTGTGGGTATTCTCAATCCAGATGCCCACCGGCCGAATGAAAATCATGGATATCCACTGATGTCTTCAAGGGTAAAACTTCTGTTACCTATGGGACAACCTAGATAAGTGCTTTTGGTTAACAATCCAAAGTACCTTGCATAGTCCATGTCAAAACCAGATTGTTTGCTGCCTTACCTTTCCAACAGAAGAGAAGAATTCCTCCAAGTCTTTGGCTCTGACTCGCTGTGATAACTGCATAACGAACACAGTGCGAGCGTCTCTTGTCTCTGGAGGAGGTTCAATGTCCTTCTTCCTCCTGCACAATGATGTAATAGGCTGAATATGAAAAAAAACGCATAGGGGGCAGGCTGGACAAGTAAGCATTTCAGTAGCAATAAGGTCATTCTGGGTTTCTATTTCATCTGACTTGATAGTACAAAAGTAAAATTATTTCAAAAGGTGACAGATAGAAGGTGTCTGTCACCTCATGAAACTATTCATACTGCAGTACTCAGAACCATTATTTGTATATCGCGTGCCTAGCTAAGTCAAAATTAGGAAACTGAGGTCGAGAAACAATTACCCTGGACTTGAACCTCTCTTGCCATATCGGTCTCTGCTACGAGAGCGACTTCGTCTCCAATGGAACGGATCTCTATGGGGACTACGCTCTTTACTGCGGCTACGACGGCCACGACGTGGGGGTGTTGGACTCCGCTTCCTGAAAGGAAACATTAAGAGTATTCCCAGTTGGCCCATATTTTTACAAGAAGTTTGGAAATATCATGGACCGTACTCAACTCAATCATGTACTTGGGACTCAGTACTACACACCAATGCTGGGGATGTGGCCTACAGATTGAAAGTGTCCAAATCACCCAATTAGGAACTGAACACCTGTTCCAAATGGTTCCTACATACAGACTACACTACCACCACATGCGTATCAACATTGAAAAGTCAGAAATTGGAACATCCATTTTAAGATTTCATAGCAAAAAGACAAGCAAATGAGAAGCACACATGTCCGTAACAACTGCAATCTTGATATAGCAAATGCCATCCCTTTTTCTGCTATTAGCACCCTCTTTTGTCGGAACTCACTTTTTTTTTTTTAGAATCTGAATGTTTCGATTTGTAAGAAATTGTAACACAAAAATCAAGAAAATTCAAAATAAATTGGAACTGTTGACAGGTACGCCATCATCCAAAAATCTGCTGCTCAGAAGATGGCATTAACCCTCCTATGTAAAGATGCATTCTTGACAAAGTTGTCCTATCAGTCAAATCACTCCATGTGTGCCTGCGTACTGTAGCAAATCGAGGTGAGGGAATTTTTTACTGTGACTGTTTCACAGGTGTGAGCTGCCACTTACAATTTAAAGTTCCCATACTTTTATACAGACCAGGCGTACAAAAAAGCTGAAAGTCACGGTCAACATCTGAACAAAAAAAAGCTGAAATCAGCCAAAAGCTGAATTCTCACACCCCGATTAGAGCAAAAAGTGTACCAAACCTGATAAAATCCAACAGAATAAGCCTGTTGGAGTTTAAGACATATGCTATGGATGGGTCTGTGCAGTAGAGGACTTGCACTGAACAGTACCAAACCTGACCAAATCAAGCATAGTCCAACAACTGGTACAGCAAGCCAGACACTGATGAAAAAATCCTGAAATCAGGAAAAATCCAGACAAATCTTACCCCTGCCTGCCATATCTGCCCAAGCCACGCCCCCTGTCTCGGTCTCTGTCTCTATCGTGGCGTGTGCTTGTGCTTCTATCCCGGCTGCGACTTCGGCTACGACGTCTCCTGTCTGGGCTACGACTGCGTCGTTTCCTTTCCGGGCTGCGACTACGGCTGCGACGCCTGCTACTACTTTTCTTGCTGCTGCTGCTACTGCTGTGCTTATCTTTGTCTTTGGAGTCAGGAGGGCTACGGCTGCGACTACGGCTACTTCTGTGTCTGGTTGGAGCATTCAGTTGTGAGGATTAGACAACAATGACAGCATGACACATGTAAAACATCACTGAATAATGCAACTGGGAGGGCAAATCCACTGACATTGGTTACAGTTCACTCACGCAGAAAAAATTCTGTATGTTCTTCTTGAACACTATTGGTTAGTAAGTTAGTCGGGGGGTTGAAAGATTTTCAGTATTTACAATCCACATCTCTATAACAGGATTTGGTAAATGTTGCAAACCTGACAAGAAAAAAAAAATTACTTGAAAAGGAACCCATTTCACTAAAATGACCAATAAAATCTTGCCCATATTCTGCTGTAGTCAGTGACTGATTAAAGTAGTTTTGGTTTCTTAGGGAGAAAATCAGGGCCACAATGCAAACTTGTTCATTTCATAAACAGATACATGCAGTTTTGACTGCACTAAATTAGCATTTACAGTTTTTTCAGCATCATGTTATTCAAAATGACAAATGCCATCACTTCAACACTCTCTTCCTGCATCATATGGATTCACTCAAATACTCATGACAAATGCCAGCTGCGTTTCCCTCTTCCTCAAGTATCATATCGTATACTCTGCTTTGTTTCCAATTACAAATCGTCCTTTTGTTGGCGTCATAAGCATTTTTCTTGGGGGGGGTTCATTTAGCAATGCATTTCTAGATTTCCCGGCCTGAAATCCCCAAGTTGCGGGGCCTTTCGGAACACGTCCAGTACCCTTTATGTAGACGTCCAACCCTGGATCGGCCGTAAGTGGGCACTGCTGGTCACACGCCATTGGGGCTAAGTCACTTTTAATCTGCGACAACAAACATGTATCCCAGGTCAGATATGTGGAGCAGGTAAATTCAAAATAAAGTACTCTGCAAAATATCTTGTTAAACTGTGACTGTATGGGATAACAAGAAATCACTACCAGTATTTGAGCAGACCCTCCCGCCAACATGACACGGACGTCGGGTCAAACACACACACCTTGGAGCCGTCAGTAATATGAAGTGTTCAACTTACCTGCATCATGCATTTTTCCCCCAATATATCTGCTTCAACATGTGCAAAACTTTCTGGATACTTTAAATACATATCCCTATTGAGAATGAAACAATGAAACGTGCGGTTTGTATTAATTTCTGTTTGTATGAGAAAATAAACTTGCTGTTATTCCGATTCTTTTGCCTTTTTTGATTTTGTTTGGACCAGCCATTGAGCAGCACCATACAGTCAAAGTTTAACAAGGTCACACATGGAAGGTTGTAAATGTACTCACTTCTTTTTAGGGGATGGTTCCTTCTCTGGCACACCGTTTTTGCTGGTTGCCTCTTCCTAAGATCATCCAAAATACAACAGCATTATGGGTGGGAAGCAGCCGACAGCAGGATTGGTTGTGTTGGGTTGATAAACAATGGCAGGGGTACAAAGGGGGGGTACACAGTCAAGAAGGGAAAGAGAGAGAGAACAAACCAAAATCAATGTGTGACAAATAAAAGAATTCATTGATGCGAGGTGTACCACAGCGCATCTTTCAGCATACAAACAGGAAAGATTTTGTGGTCTATTTTTAGCACAGAATACACAGTCTGCTTCGCTAGCAGAGTTGTAGGATGACGGTGCGGGCCATGCAATGCAAAGAATGTTACTTGTACAAGTAATTGCTAACAGGACTCTCCATTAGCAACTTACCGTTGATAAATGCCATGGAATTCATCACTTGAATGTAATCAATCTAAAACAGTAAAATGAAAACTTTGAGGACATGGGGCTCATTTTTTCTCTCTCTAGCAAAAGTATGGGAAATGTCAAGTAGAAATTTTTTCCTCACTTTTGATTCAAATTTTAGTTTAAAAAAATCCAAATTGGAATGTTTTCAGTTTGAATGCTTTGAAAACACAAAACTTGAATAAACTTGTGCTTTAAAAAGAGAGAAGTATCTGGTTTACTTTCATTTCAAATACCAAAGCGTTCTATCTATTGAAACTGTCAATACCCCCCGAAAAAGGCCAACATGCAGAAACAAAAGAGACAGATTCTCAGTCCGGGCTGTTAGGGACTACATGAAAAAATATCAAGTTGAAGATCTTTGGAAGGTAGACTCCATGATGTTGGCCATAAAGCACCAGGTTTCTTCCAGGCCGGTCATCATGATGGCTTTTCTCATACCCTACGGCAAGAGGGGGATGGGAGATCTTTTAGTCAGATTGCCTTCATGTGGACTAACTGGGTACGTCACAGCCTTCCACCTTGAAATACTCTTAACATCTTCAAGTCATGAGCTAATCCTTGCTCAATATAAGGGGATCAAATAGAACTATCCATTCTAAGCCAAAAATGACTTGAAGGCAACTAAACCAACTTGAAGTCATTTACTGATTTCAGCAGCAAAGTAACCAGATAGCTCTGACCTGCTGAAGGATTTGCACAAACACATTTACGCTAATTATACTATAACATTTAGCATTGTCCTCTGTGATGTGGTCCCTGGTGGTTTTAACACCAAAAGCTACATGTACTGGAGGAAGATATGGTACAGTGTGCCCAGAGGGCACAAAAAGCTAACAAACCAGGACAAAAAAACAGAAAATATTGTTTTGTTACTCTAGGTTAATGTTAAGTAAGACTGAGGGAAGTCTTAAAAATGACTTTTTTTCATTTGGATATGCTAACCATTTATAATTTGCATCAGATGTTTCAGATATTCACACTACATCACACAAATTACAAAATGCAGACCTTCTGCCAAGGGTCTGCCCTACCAAGTACACTTTATTAGGCTGTTGAAGGATGAGCTCTGTATGAGTCTTATCAGTGGTATAAGTATCTTATTCCACAAATCTAGCACTGGAGAAGATAAAGAAGTAGGTGGCCTTCCCTAAACACTACACTTTCAATTTACAAGCATGCGGCATGAGGTGCATGCTACTGCATGTGTTTCATATTAGCAAATTATGATGAACTGAAGTTTACTGGGTTAAAATCAATGACTTCAAGTATTTATCCTCCAAGTCTGTTCAGTAATTTTTTTCCCTGTGTTTATTCATGCCAAGTTTTGCAACTGTGTGTATGAGGAGTACCCAAAGGATGCTAAAGTCCTCTACCTCTGTCAACAAGAACCAAGGATGTGGAGTGATCAGTAGATGTCTATAAATAAAGAATAAAATAGACACTTTACTGTCAACTGAGATTCTCAACAAAGGTCAATTCAAACTCTGTGAAGTATTTACAAAATTAAACTTGAATCTGTCAATTTTTAAAAAGTGGATAGACCAAAAAGATTGGATAAATATGAACTGCAAAATTTATTACTGACCATGTTAAAAAAAATACAATAAAAATATTTTTAAAAAATCAAAAAAGGACATAAACTTTACCTGACCACCCTTAGGTAACCGAGGATTTTTTTAACGTAATGACAGGGACTGAGAAATTACCTCACTGTTTTTATATGGAGCTTCAAGAAGCGCTTCCACATCCAGGTCCTCTCCGTACAATGCCATGCTCAACTGCTGTTGCACCACCTGTCACAAAAAAAAACAGAAACACAAACTTAATGATTGAGCACTTGCATGTACATTCAAGCAACACTTCATCTGTCCATGTATAAATGGACTACACAGGAGGGGCAGCGATCTTTGTGCAGCCTCAACAGAAAGTGTTCATGGTGCGATGGCTGTTGCTTGTCGTTCCTGCCATTTGGGCATAAATAATGAGGAGTCCTGATTGGTCAGTGTGACCCCCAGCACAAAGCAGCCAACTGCCAGTTTCAACCAGCAGTAGAGGCGCTGATCACAACTCGGAGACTGTCCCTGGAATTAGAAAATTCCCTTTATTTGGGGCCAACACCAGTCTCTCAAAACAGAGAATGTCCCCATAAAAGGGGAAATTTTTTCCCCAAGTGGCCTTAGGTCAAAAATATCCATGCACTATTATCATTTTTTTCTCCCACATTTTCCATCCATTTAAGATGTTCAAATTGTTTTCATAAACTTTGCACCATGCCACTCGATTAAGTATATGTAAAGGATCGATATTTGGAAAAATTGTTCTGATACAGTCTTTTTCCCACCCTTTATGCTACATTGCATACTCTTGCTTATAAACCTAGACGTAAACGGTAGGATTTTTTTTAAGTTTAAACGGCTGCCTTGGGTGTTACAATCCAGAACAATTCATCAATTTTGGATATCATCCATCTGAAAAACAATGCCTTTTGACATTAAAAAACCTTGGAACGCGAAGATTTCCTTTTATTTGTGAAATTCGCCGTCTCTAAACGACAAATATTGTCAACAAACTACGACAAAGCGGGAAACTCAGTATACATGTTGGCCCAAACGTTTAGTGCATGTAAATTTGCAATGGCTAGCAAAACAGACGACCCATATTGTTAGGCCTAACTTAAATCCAACTCCAAGCATATTGATCATGTATACAACACAGAATAAAATGCATAACACCTGTCTTACCAACTTCCTTTGTAACACCAAAATGTTGTAGTAAATAATTCTATCAATATCGCTGACAACGTGAATATGTCGGCAATCGTCACCAACCACTCTCTCCGCCAGTCCCCAATGTCGAGAATCGAGTAAAAGATGGCTACGGTTTTAGTACGCACGCGCAGCTCAAGTCTTGCAGGTGGACGCAGGTTATGACTGCGGCTTAAGAACCCGGCCGCATTATACAGGTTTTATACATGTTGTCAGCCGTAGCCAGTTGTGTTGGGCACGACCGTGACGTCAATGGAGTAAATAGATGACGGGTTTCAAAGGGAGGATGAAGGGGTAAATATGGCGCGTTTTGCCGGTCGTGTTTCTACGCTACACGGAGGGTACAGTCCACTTATTCAAGCCCCATTGAAAACAGTGTAAAATCAGCACTGTTCAGGGCCCGGTCACTTAGGCCTATCTTTCAATTTCTTTTCATTTTTTTGTGGGTTAACCAATTACATTTTTAATTATTCCCACAAAACAAAATCCCCCCCCCAAAAAGGGATTTTTCCGAAGTCTGATTGCAGCCGTTTTTCAAGTGGCAACCGTCAACTTACTTTCTCGGGCACTTAGGACCATATTTCAACTGTAGTTTTTAGCCATTCAGTTCTCATGTGAAAGCTCAAAGACCGGGAGTTGATCCTGGCAAGGATTTACACAATCTCACCATTTTGGAGGCCAAACAATCTCCTTTTTCAAAAGATACTGTGGGGGTGGGCACTTTTAATGCTAATGAGCTGGCCAGAAACTCTCACTTGAATTAGTGGTCTGCACCTTGTAGCATGCGCGTTTGTTTCTACATGTAGTTGATAAAAGCGCTTGAATGCAACCGTCATCACAAAAGTCTTCCCCGATTAAAAGTTCAAAAGAAAATTATCTTCGAGATACAACTAAACCTATTTTGTTAAGTCCGAAAAATACTCGTCTACATCGAGCAACCGGATGCCTACGATTTTTGTACATGTAGGCCTACTATCCTCCAGCCAGCCCTCTAAAGTTCCGCACAAATTTTTAATTTTATTGGTAAAATAAATAGTAACAAAAGGCTAGGTAGGCTAGTTGTTAGAAGCGTAACACAAACGGTAAGCATGACATTCTCTGACAAAGTAAGCGGATGCCATCACATCACCTCAGCATCATCGTGACCTAGCTTCATTTTGCATGTTTGGTTCAGTTGCTAACAAAAGGGTCATGCTTCCAAAAGCTTCCTCGGTGTTGACATGGGGGCAGCTAGTGTTAAGCGTGAATTATATAATTATATCATATTAACATTTACATGTTAAGATTTTTTGACACTTTATGAATCATTTTTAAGTCAGCCATTTACATGTACCTAAATATATAGTCACTGGTGGTTGGCAACACTGCGCTTGTGATGTTGGCAACTAAACGCAAGGTTGTGATATGAATCACGCAGGTGAGGCTGTATTTTTTGAGTATTTTTTGGTGGTCATCAGCCAGGCACAGTGGACGATTTGGTGTATGTACTTGTCATCTTAACGTAATTAACTAGGTACAGGAGATTAGTTTTCTTGTTAGCATCCCTTACTTTCACATGCACTTTTCTTTATTCATACGCGCTTCTTAAATTTTGGATTCTGGCCCTAAATTTGTCGAGTCCAATGTTATGCAATATGAGCCTCTCAAAAGTCAAAAGATCACGAAGTTGCTTTTCACCTCCACATGGAATCGTTCTACGGGATCTATAAAGGAAATAAAATGCAAATAAATTATGAGTCTGTTTGCTATGCACCCTCACCCGCCGGCGCGGCGAAAGAAAGACAGATGGTGCTAAGTTTTCCAAAATGGTTGCACGCGTTCAGCGTGCAGAACTCTATGTACACTCCATACTACGTGGGTTGTGCGTATACTCAGCGCAACAGCGACGGAACAGTTTAAAGTGGGAAGGGGGGGGGTTGCTCCCTCCAACCTTTGAAAAGATCATTTTGCCCCCTCCTCTCACTTTATAGGCCCATCAGCCGGTTGTGGTAAATGTGGCAATTTCTTTTTAGTTTAATGACCCTAAAAATGGGACATGTGCAGTATACGTGTAATGGGCTTTCGTATGAAATAGACGGAAAGCCAGCGAACAAAACCAAGGTCGAATGCATGAAAAAGTACCCGCATTATGGGTAATTTCTTAATAAAGTCGGCAGGCCAAACTAAAAACCGTATTGATGTAAAGCAATACACGCAGTATGAGATGATATGTTTGTAAATACAATGCACAAGAAAGCCAACAGGAATATCGGCAGCACGCGTATAGGCTATAGGCTGAAACCGTGTCTGTGTTGTATCGAGGAATGCACGAGGAAAGGACGGGAATATCAGTAGCGGATCCAGTATTTAAAAAAGGAGGGAGAGAGAGGGAAGCCTAGCATTTACAAGGGGGGGTCAAATGTATAGGTGATCCCAAACATTTCTGTGCTTTTTTTATTCTGTTTTAAGTTGTTAAATAATCAGTTGAAGGTAAACGGAAAAAGTATAGGGCCAAGAAATGGGTACAGAGGCACGAATGTGGGATTGGAGGTCAAACCCCCTGCGCACTGCCATCTTTTAAGGGGCTTACATCTTTAACAAAAAAAAAAAAAAATTGGAAGACCCCAAAAGAGCATGTAGGGATCTTATTTTGGATCCGCTACTGTCATATCTTTTAAGTGATTCCAACTTCCTGGCAAACTCGAATCATGATGTGCTCCTCTCAGTCAGTGAAACAAGAGCGCCGCAAAATTCACTTATTATAATAAAAGGGGACAGTGGAAATATTATGAGCGAAGAATTAAGCAGATCATAAGGACACAGTTCGTGATGAAGTCGATAGTAAATGACTTATGGATGTAAGGAAACCCTACATTATGTCATAAAGCAGCACAAACCTTGAAACTTATTTCACCAAATGCTAACCTGCCTAAGTTCAAGCTTTCTCAAGAAGAATTGAATATAAAGGGAAGCATACGACATAAGCAAAACATAAACATTGAACATGTTCACCTAAACCAAGTCTGATCAGGACATTTTTCGAACCTCGCGTTGCACCCGGGCCAATGTCACAGGAAGTCCCGTAGCGTCGCAAGTATGTGAGAACTCAGGGGCTGTCCATATAGGGTTAGTTCGATTAGTTTCCCTGAATACACCTGTTTTACATGCAAGGGAAGCCTCGAAATGAGGCTAATCGAACGCTGCGGCGTATTCACCAAGGCATTCTGGGAGGAAGTCCCCGCCACGTTCCATCATGCACGAACAGTCCATCCGTGACGTCATTACACTTGGGCAGCCTCCAGAGACCCGCTCGCTGGGGCGAAGTTCGGGCGGCATGTTCCCGTCTGTTCACGAACAGCTCGATTTGTTGTTCATGGGTCGGCCGCTCGAACGCCGGGAACAAACAACTGGTTATCGCTGGAAGTTAGTGACATGCAACATACATGTATATGCAACATGGCGGCGTCCGTGTAGGCTACGTTATTCGAGAGTTAATGTTTGGATGGGATGAATTCTTTTCTGTATGAACAGGAACATTCATTTCAGTGTTACGGAAAATAATTAATGTTAATTTTGCAAACTTCCCATTGTCTATGGCTTTAGAAGCCATCTCTCTACTTTTTGCAGCTGTTCAAAAATAAAAATCTCACGAGTTTTTCCGTGTGTTCCTGTTCCTGACGAAGAGGTGGTGTGTGATCCTGTTCCGAGAACAGTGTTCTTGAGTCGTGTTCCTGCCGTTCGAGCGCGAGAACAAGAAACCCGTGTCAAAAATGTGAAAGGGCTGCGTAGCACCGTGATCAGAATATCGACAAGAATATAAGATTAGATCAGTGCTCTGAAATAAATGATTGCCGAGCTTTCGGCAACCTGAGTGCCTTCTTCAGGGCACTAGATTCACAAGCAGCTAAATCTTCTTGCCCTGAAGAAGGTACTCAGTTACCGAAAGCTCAGCAATCATATATTTCAGAGCACTAATTTAATCTTGCCGTGTCAAGAACAGGCCGCCCGAACTCGACCTAGAGTACCGAAGTGTGACGTCACTGTGAACAAAAAGGTGCCGCGCAAACGGTACGAATGGAGAACGCGCGCGTGTTGGTTCACGAGCTGGTTCTCGCACCAATGCCTTTTACACCATTGATCTCTATCCGGTTCGTGAGTGACTCCGTCACAAAGGCAGACGCACCACGATTTGCAGGCTCCCATTGGACGATCGCTGAAGTTGCCCGTTAACTTCCAGTTCCATGGTTCCATGTAAACGGCGATCAATGCATGTAGCCTAATAATGCAGTGCACGTGTGTAGTGGGCGTGGTTTAAACTGGAGTGACGTCACACTTACAAACCGGACCCTCAGACTCCCCCCCCCGTACGCGTGGTACGCAAGGCACCAACCCCCCTCCCCCTTCATGTGTATTTATAGACGGCCCCTGACAGACTTTTTCAGACCAGTTTTACGGGGTTTGTGCACATGGGGGTGGGCCAATGAGTCATCTTCCCTCTTTTTGTGGTGAGCAAGAAAAATAAAGTGAATCGTTAAGAATTTTTCAGACTTCCAGCGACTAAAACTCATTCAATATTACTCAAAACTGTTCTTAGGGGTGATCATCTCTGGAGAGAAATAATTCAAAAGTCATCTGTTAATAAGCCACTAAAATTATGCCAGTTCGTAATTACAAACTGCAAATGCACGGATGAACTTTTGCAAAGGTTAATTGTAGGCCTACATAAAACGAACTGATTTACATGTACGTATAGCTTGTGTTTGCACGGATGGGCTTCTGTTGATACGAACGATCGTTGATACGAACAATCGTTTAAGAAATTGCTGAGGGAAAAACCAAAAGCAGAATGAACCTACAATCCCGTACAGTCATTTCAAAAATAATACCGAATAGTGTCCAAAATAATTTACAATACATTTCTGTAACTGGTGAGATTTTCACATACAAATGGCACTTAATTTCCCACTGCAGGGCTTTATTAGCCCTCATAGAGCAATAATAGGCCTATGTCCTAAAAAGTCAAAGTTAGCGGTGAGAAAGTTGAAGTGTTTTCTTAGGAAACACTTTTCAGATTTTTCAGACCATTCTCCTAGGGTTTGTGCACAGGGTGTCGTTTGACATTCGTGTATGAACTCACTCAAGGAAATCTTTATGAAAAGCAGTATCTTTAAAATCCAATGAAAATGAAAATGGAAGAAAACTGAAATTTTAAATACGTACAAGTTTAAACTATCAGGTAATTATCATACAAATTGAGGTTCAATTAAGCGTTGATTTAATGATCCAAATACAGCATGTGGAATATGTTGTTGTTCCTTAAAACTCTTTCAATCGGGCCACAGTCCACAGAAGAATTCCATCAGTTGAAAGACTTAACCAATACTTGAAAAGAATTGATCAAAACTGAAGCTCTAGCTGAATCGCGCAACATCTACTATACAAACGAATGTCACAGAAGGGCACCCGGTGAGTACGTTGAAGCGATTCGTTTGATGTACAAATGAACCTTGCCCTACTTTCCAGCGAACGTAGCGAATGTGGCAATTGCGAACTAGTTTATTAAAAGGAAGATGGAAATGAGGAAATGAGATTTAATTTGATAAGCGTCTTGAATACTCGATAAACTTTGGGGTATTAGGTCTGATTTTTTTTAAGGGGGGGGGGCATTTATCACAGTTTTCTACTGGTCTGGAACCTTGAAGTTAATGGCGTCTATCTTAATGGGGGGGCTCCACTATAAATCCACCACAAACCACCTTGCACCTTTTTCAGTATAAAAAGAAGAAGGCAGGTCAACCCTCTCCACCAGCTGGTTATGTTGGTCAATTTCTGTCTGGACAACAATAAAGAAAGGACATAGGCGTGATAGAATTTCAGTGATCCAAATTATTTCCCGGATTCATCGGCACCGATAATACCAAGTCGGCAAGTGAAGAGTGGAATTATGCGGGCCAACTTGTTCCATAAATACCACACATTTACATAAATTTGTATTTGCATTCGTCACATGAAATAATTGACGTCAAAAGCTTGTATCCATATTTTTCATCCACGACATCAGAAATATTAAGAACACTAAGGTGTGCGCTTTATAATAGTATACCGAGCGGATTTCATAAAGCTCAAAGTGCATCATAGAAAGCATCCCTTTTATGTATAAAACTTTTATACTCCAAGCGCTATTCTTCTATTGTTCGCCGGTAGCTGTAACATTCTGATTTAAAACAGCCGTCATCTTTTGGGTTTAAAATGACTACCAACATTTTTATAAAATATGACAACGGAGGCTCCTTTTATTTATTTTTTAACAGTGAATTTGTACAGCGTAACAGTTTGATTATCATATAGCATGGTTCCGAGATTTTGTGTGAATAAATTGCATTTTATTGAGGGGAGGAGATGAAAGAGATTGGCTAGGTATCCTCAATGTATGGGCCCTTGAACATGGTCGCTATTGGTTGTTATAAATATGGTGCTTGAATTCAGTTAAAATTAACATGTCAGTAAACAGTGAGTCATAAGTGTGACCTAGAAAGGAGACTAGGTCGCAGACTTGAGAACGAAGTACAGAAAGAGGGTGTCACATGGCAAAGTTATCCTGGTGAAATAAGTTTAAAAGGTTGCTTTTATAGCGCAGTTATAAAAAAAGATATCTTGCTAATGTCTATTTAGGTAGGCCTAACGGCTTGAGGCGCGCGGGTCTCACGTGCAACAACGGAATTTGAGAGGATTTTCCCATTTATCTGCGAGTTATTGTCTGGGTTTAGTTTGATTGATAGGGTCAATTTTCCAATGTTCTATAAACCTCTTATGTCTGCTGAAGTTGACGTATATTCGCTCCCCCCCCCTCCGGTCATCACTTTCAAAACCTTTGCTGGGATCCAACAATGATAATGCCAACATCCCAAAATCTCTCCTATAAAAATCACGCGATTGGAAGCCGATGGGATTTGGGAGGTAAACTTATAGACCATTGTGTTGTGCGTGCTGTACATACAGTCTCGTGATGGAATGCTGAAATTCAAGGGAGGAGGGGGAAAGTTTAAATTAGATGACGAGGATGTAAAGACCTGACCGAAGCTCTGACCTTTGTCGATGGGCACTGAAGGGCCTGTCTGTGAAACTCGTCTACAAAATCGAATAAACAAACTCTCGACACTCCATTTCTCTCCATTAAAATAAACGTTCACACAGTTCAAAATCTTGTTTATAATGTATTCCAAAACAGAGATTGAGCCATGCTGAGGAAAAGCTTTTGTATTGAATTCCAGTTATAACAGATTAAGAAAATTCTTATGCAATCACCTGCCCAATGTATTTCATGACTTTTATTTGTTTACGTGTCATATAAACGAGGAAACATCTAAATTCGCACCAAATTGTTCATAACGTTCAAGAGAACCAAATGTTCAAACTGGACCTTGCATCTACGCCAACATGACCTCCCAATTGTTTTTCACAGAATGTGCATCAGCTGTTCTACTTTATCATTGTACATGTATTTTATACACTTTTATGCACGATAGACTTTGTTGCGTTTGATATTTACATAAGCCTCTAGATGACCATTATTTTTGATCACAGTGCATGCAAATGTCGCAAAAACAAAGATTTTCTTTATCAGCTAATCCAACCCATTTTATGATCTACTTCAAAGCCTTTGAGCAGAAGAGCAATCAGTGTAAAATTTAGAGTAAAACAAAAGCAGCCAATTCAAAATACCTTGTCTTTTTCATATGTACAACTTTATATTGCAGAGAAAATTATGAATAAATATAAAACGCCTAGCTACCAAGGGCGAAATCAAACAACTTTAAGCCAACCGTGCTTTTAATTTTTCAGCAAAAATCGTCACCTTTCAACAAACGGATCAGATCCCCATCTTACTTTCAATTTTGGTTCCGCCCTTGAAAGCTTACCAAAGCCAACCATCGTATGACAATGGTCGTACGTAATGGAAGACGTTTTGAAGTAATACATAGTTCACACTCAAACTTCGAAATGCGAGTAAAATGCTAGTAATGAACCATCAGAAATGATCAAATTCACATTTGTCTCATTTCAAAGTCCAACTGCGACATTACCGTCACAAAAAGTTTAATGTATGGCCGTTCACATGTTCTCTTCATTTCAAAGTTCAATGCTAATAGCGCCACACATTTTAATCAGTCCAATTACTCCACATGATTTTTCGTATTCCTCTGTTTCTCCAAGATCTCATCCACTAAGGTTTTCCCTTCAAATGCTGATGGTGTCTTGAAGGAGCCCCCTATGCGATCCCACAGGGTGAAATACTGACCATAGTTGTAGTTGTAGTACAGATGATGATCGGTGTGATGCGCAGAGCCATTGATGAACGGTCTGAGCAGCGTTGGTACCCGGTAGTCACCATCGTGGATGCAGATGGTCCAGATGTTTACCAACACGAAGAGGACCAAATAGGCGTATTTGTTGAGCGGGAAGATGAAGGGGTAGAGATGGTAGGGTAGGCTCTGCAAAAATCCATCGATGGGGTGGAAGGCGTGGCTTGCGAAAGGAGTTGGAACTTTCCAGATATGATGCATCTTATGGATGTGTTTGTAGACCAGACGGTGATGCATCCAGCGATGGATCCAGTAGATGGCACAGTCAGTGAAAAAGACGAAACCAGCAATGTCTCGGGCGATCAACAGCCAACCTAATCAATAAAGAAGAAAAAAGTATGTTGTCAAACACTGTGGTGTTCTGCTAAAACACAGGCCAACAAGATTCCAAAATCAGCTTTATCATGAGATCCAATTCTTGCTTTAAGCCGTGCAACCATTCACGCATTGTCGATGGACTTGCGTCTTAGAATTGAACAGAAACAGAACTCCACGTAGTAAATAACGTGGACGAACTCTTTAAGTTGGCGCACCTAAGAAGCGCGTGGCATTAGCTTAAGCATGTAATGGCACATAGGTGTTACATGCATCGCAACAATTAACTTTATATTGTTAAACATGTCGGGACTAAATCCCCCTACAATTGATTAAATATTGTTGGTACAGACGCTACAATTCTGCAGTTTCACTTACCCAGCTCCCCACTCGGTAAGCCGTCGAAGAGTTTGCTGTAGCCTCGTACTTCCATGAAGAACATGGCCACAGTTAGGACAGCAATCACGGGAAGGATCAGTATGGAGGTCATAATTTCCCGCCGTTTTTGGTTCTGTAATTGCAAACAAAAAGAGAAAATCTAGGTCCACTAGAGTACAATTATTCCGAAATGTAGAGTTAATGACCAATGTTGGAATGGTTGTACATAAGAACTGCAGTAAAAGGAACGGGATTGTACCTGTTGTGTGGAAAAGTTCTCCTGAACAAAACAGTGAAAATTAAGGTGTCTTTCCGTTATACCCTTTTAATTAGGAAAATCATGAAAACGTCATTGTTTAGTACAGCATACGACCATGTTACGTATGTTAGAATTTTCTCAACTTTTACACCTATTTTGTTATTTACTTTGAGCGATGTACACGACTCGTATTTGAAGTCAAAGACTCGGATGTGACCCCATGACACAGTCTGCCTGCACTCAGCTTGCACTCAACCAATTTATGCACTCAACGAAGTAGGCCTATATAGACGGTAAACTTGGATTTGATGACTCGACTCTGCACGTTAATAACAAAATGCGATTTTGGAAATGCCAATCACACTGAGTTATGTTTCTTCAGTGAAAGATTGACTACAGACAAGTTGTAATTTGTCACTAAAATGGCCAAATCTATTGAATGGCCATTCCACGAATCCTTCAAATCAAAGTAAACGCTGTTTCAGTGATAAATATGCACAGAACTCCCTGTCTAGGATGTGATACCGGTACCCACCTTCAAAAATAATGGATGCTTCTCCAGTCGATGATCAAACAGGACATAGTAATTGAAGCTGGCAGAGACAAGGTAAAGGCCAACTGCAGAGATACAGGTCAACACGTATAAGCTGGCGACCTGCCGGAGCCAGTAGTCGTTGGACCAGCTCACAGGGTACACGTTATACTTGTCAAAGATATAGTCATCCGCGACGTTCAGAACGATATCCATGGTGGTTACTGAAATAGAGACTACACCTCAAAGCTGCAAAAATAAAATACACAAAACAAAAGCCTGAATGATACGACCGGGAAATGTTTATACACATTCAAACAAAACATTTAAAAGCACTGTGGAGCTGTTTTCTTTGATTGAATTTGGGAGTATGGTATCATGTTGATAAAACAGTAAACGCTTGTTCACTGCGCTGTGCATCGCGTCATCTTTTTGCTCTTGCAGATTTTTGGTGTCCCATCGTCGCTCCATCCATCGTCCGTTGCATCACACCATCACGCCTCGTCGTGCATCATGGTATAGCGGTAATTATACCTTCGCTATCACCCTGACCTGTAGAAGAGGCGGTTCAGTGATGCAGTATCTTTTTGACAAGATTTCTTGCAGACAGAACATTTTTCTCGATATAAGCGACGCGACAAGCGACGGAACGGGTGACGTTTAGACACAAAAACTAGAAACTAGAAAGGATGATGGGACAGCATGACTCCACAGATCCATCGTGCAATCGCATCGTGTAGCTGTCTGTTCAAAAAGCGGCACAGTCCAATTAACTTCAATTAAGTCATGCTTTCCTTACTCAGAGCAACAGAGTTGCAGATGAGGGCAAGGGAAGACGAACTCCAAACGCGAGGTCAGTTTTCGACTGGATCTGCTCGTGCGTTACCGTACCTCGCAAAGAACCTCCTGCATTGGCATTGCTCGTGTAGAATTCCTTTATACCAACCACGATTGGACATTGAACCTAATGGAACCAAAGCTTTACTACCACTGGCTGAGAGCAAAGATTAAGCCAACCAATCAGAAATCTCTCGTGAATGAAAGCAATAAGCCTGTAAGCAGTTTAGACACGCCCACACAATCGGCTGATGTAGCTGAAAATATTTATAACGCGTTGCTAAAATGGGATGCATAATGGCTGGATTTATGTAAAAAAAAAAAAAAAAAAAGTAAACAGATGTTGGAAAGAAAGCAACCATATCATATGGCAGACTACAGTACGACGCTCTCATTACACAGGATACAGATGTGGAAAGTAAAAATCACTGCTGATTATTATAATAATGTTCGTTCAACCTAGATTAGTTTGTTCAAATGGGCATTCTAGGTAAAGATACAGTCCATCATTTTGTCTCTTTGAGGCAAAAAATACCTCAAATCTAAGGAAGGATGCTTAGAACAAACCCGGTGAATTTTCAGCACATTGAATGCTGGTATCACATTTTCCGAGAGGAAAAAATTCTAAGATTTCGATTTTAGATCAAACGCTGCTGACAATATACTTCATGCTAAAATGTGCGCCTGAATTCAGTTCTCACGTTCAGTTGAATGCTAGGCGATGTCATGCGCTGAGCAGACGAATTTCACAGCGAGTTGGCGGCCCTATAAAACGAAGCTGACTTTTCAACAGTAACGTCGTCAGTTAGTTTTTGGATAACTACAAATTATGGGCTCGGTACCTTGAAGAGGGTTTCGAGCGATCAAAGATTTTTTAGAAAGAGCGTCCCCCAGGTGAGGTAGGGTGCATCCAAAAGACTAGGCCTCAACCGTACACGTGCAGGAGAAAAAAAAACAGGTTCGTGCCTCGACGCTGAGTCTGTGCACAGGAAAAGGAAGCAGCTACCAATTCGCTTATTATATAGGCATACGCGGTATGATTGCTTGCTGTAGCCATACCCGTAGCGTATTATGTGGGTTTGGCATTTTTAGAGTTCAGAGATCTGATCATGACCATGGATGAAAATCAAAGTCTTCATACTGCGCATGCAGGTCCTTGGAAAATTTGCCATGGACAGATTTCACAATCCCCATGCATTCGGTTCTCAACGCGGCGGCGCACGTTCATCCATCACGCCACCTTTTTCACTCTGTGCGCGTGCGCGTAAGGTCACAAGTTCGACCATTAATTCGCCCCGAGTTGATGTGCACCCCCTAGCGGCAAAAGAAAGACAGGTGGCTGTAAATTTTCCACGTGGGTCCTTGCATGCGTTCTGCGTGTATGCAAAGACCATCCGGTTCGTAAGTGACTTCGTCACAAAAGGCGGACGCATCACGATTTGCATGCTACCATTGGACTATCGCTGAAGTTCCGCGTTCACTTCCGGTTCCATGGTTCCATGTAAACGGTGATCAATGTATGTAACTCTATGTACAGTGCATGTGCAGTGGGCGTGGTTTAAACGGAGGTGACATCACACTTACGAACTGGATGCATTAAGGAATAGAAAAATATGGAAGGGCTGCGAAGCACCGTGATCAGAATATTGACAAGAATATAATCTGCTTCAGCTCGGCAATTACATGTTACTAATTTCATTATATTGTCAATATACATTAAGGAATAAATTCGTTACGCGTACTCAGCGTGCTCCGCGTCAAACGCGCATTGATCTCCAAATATAAACGCGCGCTTATGCGCTGAGTACCAAAAAACAAACAAACAAACAAACAAACAAACAAACAAAAAACACGCCCTCTTTTGTTCCGCTCGGAGCAGGTTGTATTGCCACCAATTCTCAGCGTTGGCAACTTACAATTCATATGAAATACATCCCTAGGTTTTTATAGCCCAACATTTAGCTCATAAGATCAACTTTCCACGAATTCGATAGCACTTAATGATTACAAAAGACCTTAGACGCAAACATTCCTTTCACGGGTATTTTGCTATAAGCAAACAGGCATTTCTCAGTTAAGTATCTGAAGTCCATTGTATGGGACCACGACCTAACATTCAGTGCTTGCCTGTGTGCAGCGGGTTGGGAGATAACATGATGATCACAACATTTTACACTGGTTAGTTTTGTCAAGTGGTGCTTAGTTGATCGAGAAGTAGGATTTGATAAAATGCGACACAACTTAGAATAGAAATTTACGTTTGGGAGCAAAAGAAACGACTCCCAGGATTTGCATCCTCAGTGACAAAACATCAAAGGCAATCAACACATATGCTTCACTACTCTACTGCTATCCAAAACTTATTGAAGTTATCCTAAATTACGTGACACACGTATAGAAATGATCACGTCACATATCACGCATGCTTATGTGTAAATGGATGGGGTAGTATCCTTGGTTGCAGAAAATGATTAGCAAAACTTTGCGGTTAGGGATGCGCTCTAGTCAACGCCCGTAAATTAACAATGATTATTCAGATCGGGACTGATGGCGAAGTTTCAGAAAACTACTGACACAGCAGAAAATGTTGCTGCGAGTAAAATCGCAAGTTTTCCATTACCACTGTCTAGGGATACACCATATATTCAATTCGAGTTCCACAGCGTGTAACAACACGTCAATGTCCTTATGGTATTAAACCGGCAGATAGGCGTTCGCAACTCTGTAAAACTGGTCCCCGTTGTACTCGTTTCTGTGACCATGATAACAAGCGATCTTCTAGTCCACTGGGTCTGTCCATGGTCTGTCTCATGTAGCATAAAGCGTTTATTATGGTTGCAAATAGTGAGAATAATTTTAGACGGTGTCCGTTGGTGCGTGAGCATCATTTCATCATTTCAAACATGTAGTCTGTTTTACATCCTCGCTTTCAGAAATTTTCAGAAAATTCAGAAATTTTCGTGTATTTGTGAATTAGAATATTTTTATTCACCGTGCGCCGCGGTCTCGTGGATAAGATTGTTTTAGTTGCGGGGCGAATGATTCTTTGGCACGTGATCGACGATCCACCAATCAAATGACGACAACTTATTCAGGTGTTGTATATATAAAAGTGTTTGGCCCAAACTCCTTGATATTTCATGACATGCTGTAAGACGAGAGTTTCACTTTAAAGGTCCAGACGTTGCAGGGGAGTAATCTAGATCGAATAAAATTTGCTTGAGGCTTAGTTCTAAAAGAACGTGAAAGAATGCTAGAAACTACCAAGTTCCGTGAGGTGACGGGTTATGGCCTAAACCTCATAATTAGCGTGCCCAAAGCAGATGCACATAGCCCGGTAATATTGGGGGAAAACTGATTAACGCTGGAATAAACAAGTTCCCAGATTCAGCTAAAACTTCGGCATCATTAAAACAATTGCAAACCCTGGAATTAAACTTTATCGCTTCTCGAAAAAGTCGATTGCAGAAAGCTAATACATGGTTTAACACAGTCACAAGAGTATGGCCTTATCAAAGAACTTTGGCCAATAGGATCTATTTTAGACTTTGCCTTTTGTGACAAACACCAGAAAATAGGTTTGGAGTTGTGATAAGAACCTTAACAATGCTCCGGTGCTGATAGTGAACTATTTCTGGCAGTGTTAGGTCAAATTTAGACCCGAAGAAATCTGACGAGAATACATCACAGCCATTACGAAACATTACGCAAAATTTTCAGGACAGTATAATTTTATAGTATAAATTGTAGCTGTAGCAAATTAGCTCATGATGTCTAGCCCGCCCCCCCCCGGGTGCACCACTGGGAACTGAGACATACAGCTATGTCAGATCTTTTTTAAGATGTGGGTGAATATTTTACTTTTGTTTTCAGAAAGAAAGAAGGAAAAATGCCGGTTGAGGGGACTCAATTTCCTCGACTGATGTCTAGACCTTTATAGGTGACAGGAAACGAACAAACAAACAAACAAACACCCCAACAAACAAACAAAAAACAAAAAAAAAACCAAACAAACAAAGAAAATTTAAGAGTCTAACTGTTTCAAATGTTTATGTTAACCATTTGTACCTTTAACTACACGTTGGGCCCAATGAGTGAGTGTTGAAGTGTTCTTACTGTGGAACTCCCCCATCCCCTGGTCGTGTCCCCCCCCCCGCCCAACCCCTTATGTCACCGCTGTAAAACGGGCATCTTAGGGTCTCGTTTCTTCTCATTTTCTCAGAAACTTGAAGTCCTACTCTGACCTGGATCCTTGCACTTTTCCAACCCATCCAGAAACTCTCCACTGCTGATGACGGAAGTTATGTAGTCACGTGCTTGGTTTAATTTTTTCAAAAATGCGATTGGATAAATTCACGCGTCGCTTGCACTACGGCAAACTAAAGAGAGTCGTGTACTCATTAAAGTTAACA